TTGATTAGATTAGAAAAATTAAATAAGTTATTAATTATAAAAAATATGACATGTTTTTTCTAAAACACCATAATCATCTTTCTTAATATCCCCCTCCCTCTTCTACTTGATTATAGTTGAGGGAATATCTATAGGGGTAATTTCAAAAAAAATTGATAAATATGAGAAATAGATCTTATATTTATTATCAAAATTAACTCAACAATTAGGTCTTATATATATTTTTTATTAAATTATCTCTCTCTTCCTGTCACTGGTGGCTCATTGCTTCTCATCCGCGAGAGATTTGTGATTTGATATTACTAATAAAACCATATACTACGTAAGTCACAAAACTTTTTCTTCTTAACAAGACTCGTGAATTATTTTTCCAGATGAAAAAAAAAGAAAAGAAAAGGTTCAGGCACCAGTGCAGCAAAAACTTTTTACCTGAATTTTTGTTCAAAAATAAAATCTTATTGGACCAGTTCATCATTCGAAACTGTATCACATTTTGGGCTCTGATGAAATATGATGAATTGATATGGTATTTTGTAAATACATAATTATCTTGAACATATTGATTATTACCTCCAATCTTAATTATAAATTTTTTTTAAATTTACAAACGAAATATTACAATTAGGATCCAAAGTAGTATATGCTTTAAACTTTTTCAGGAAAAAAAAAAACCATCCGCAAAAACACTTATGGAATGGTACGTTGCGAATTGAGTCAAACTGGGGAGGAAAAAAAACGATGGCACGTGAGAAAGACGGAAATGAAGAACAAAACAAGAGTGGGAAGATCAGAACGTCCACTGGCACACAAGAAGTAATCATGAACCCCCACGCGTACAATTGAATTGTGGACTCTCATTCGCTTGTGCCTTTGCCTTTAATTTTCTTTGCCACCATTATGTTGTCCTCCATCATCATTCATATCACTGTCCTCACTTTATTTATTTATTTATCTTTCCTAGTCATACTTGTCCTTTTTCATTAGTGGCATGCCATCGTTTGCAATTCACCACAAATATATATACGCACACACGATAATATATCATGCCACCTTTTAAAAAGGCTAAGAGAGAGAGCACATTGCCCCACATTATAATTTCTCTGCACTTTTTTTTTATACTGACTTATATCCAAATATATTTGCTTTTTCCCCCCCAAAATAGACATGCCTTCTTCTACATTGCTTCCCTGACCGATATTTTTATGAAGCATAACCCATAAAGACATATTTATCACAAAAATTTTATCAGTGACAAGGGCTTCATAAATTTTTATACCAAAAAAGTACTGATATTAGTATTATAATATAAATTTTTTTTATTTTGGCAATTCTTTCTATATAATGTTTATTCAATTTAACTCATTTCATTTGTGTCCCACAGTCTCGACATGTAGAGCTGGAAAAACGGGCCGAGCCCATCTAAGCCTTGAAATTATGAGGGCCGGGCTTGATATTTTTCTCTTAAAATAACAAATAAGCCCTGGAGGGCCGAGGGCTTAAAAGGGCCGGCCCTTTTAAGCCCTCTTATAATTTTTTTATTTTTAAATTTTTATATAATATTAATGTTATTAATTTTTTACATTGTTAATAATATTTCAAATATTTAGTTATTATTATCATTTTAAAATTAAATTTAGTTTTAGACAATAATTTATCCAATTAAATTTTTTAAAAAATGGGTTAATTTGGAATTTAATAATGATTTGATTTATATTATATGCGTTGATATTTTTAAACTATATATATATATTTGATAATATAATATTTTTATACTTATATAACTTGTGATTCTATAATTTGAATTAGAAATTCATAAGTTTCAACAACAATGTTTCTCACATTAAAGTAAAATAATAGTTATATTGTAAAATTTAAAAATAAAATTCTTATAAAGAAGAAAAACTTGATATTTTTGTTACGAAAGAAAAGCATACTTATGAAGAAAAGTAATTAATTATAGTAATGATGAAGTTTTAAAAGATTAATTATAGTGTTTATTTATTGTACAATTGCATTATAGATAAAACTTTTAGATGTTGTTATCTTATTAATGAATGTGTTAGATGTTCTTAGATGTTGATGAATATTTATATATGATGATATTTTATATTTGTAACTTAATTTTATTCATATTTATATCTTTTATTAATAATTTTATTAGTTTATTTTTATATTTTTATAAAAAAAATATAATAAATATAAAAATAGTATTTTTTTCTTAAACGGACTAAAAACCTACAGGCCGGGCATAGCAAATTAGAGTATTTTTAAAATTTCAGCCCTGAAGGGCCGGTCTTGATTCTCAACTCTAGACATAATGTGCCATTATTACCAGTTGGTGATCTTGCCTTTTCTTTCGGCGGGTCGGGAAGTGGGTCCCACTCAACATGGTGATGATGCGCTTAGATTTGCAGATATTTGGGAGTCAACAGAGAAATCAGGCCACGTTGTTTGAAATGGGACTGGAACGTAAATGAAAAAGACACGTGGGTCATATAAAAGTCTACTTGTCCAAAAATAGAGAAAGGACCATCTATTATTTGGTCATGGGGCTTCCCTTTCGTTTTGGGGAAAAGCAGCTTCTAAATCAAAGTTCATCATAACAACCAGTAAATTATTAACAGGTATGAACATAATTTACATTCTATTATTTTTTTTCTCCGAGAATTTTGCTACAAATATGCTTTACATAATACGAGTCCCATAAAAGTATACTTTAAATGCATAAATCAATGCTCTGGCAAGAAAACGAATTGTAAAATTTATAATAATTATATGATTCAAAATTATTTTTAAAAAATTGTAAACGCAAGGGAGGAAAATTAATAAGGAGAATGGTATTATCATGGTGATTGGTGATGATGAAAGCGCCGCAGCGCAGAGAGAGAGAGAGGAGCCAGATAGATCATTGTGATCTGGGCATGTGACTGTTTCTCTCCATTGCAAATAATGGAACCATGGTGGAAGATAAAGCAAGATATAAGAGCAATTGAACCTAAAGCCGTTGTATTCCAATATTTCGGTGGTTCTGTGTTCTCCCTTACGTATCTTCAATATATTATACTCCTCCGGTCCTAATTAGAAGACCCAATTGACTTATTTGAGGAGATTAAGGAAGTAAGTTAAGGTGGTTATTTATAATAAATAAGTGTTGTTATTCCTAAAATATCCTTGCTAATTAAGTATATTGGCTAAAACTATCATTATTAGAAGGATTATATTGGAAAAAAATGCATAAATATAAGAGAGAAAATTGATTGGGTCTTATAATTAGGACCAAATAAAAAGTTAAATTGAGTCTTATAATAAGGATCGGAGGAGTATTATTTTGTTAGCAACCCACCCTCAACAATTCCGTTGTAGTCTAGTCGGTTAGGATATTCGGCTCTCACCCGAAAGACCCGGGTTCGATTCCCGGCAACGGAAGCTCTTTTGCTATCCTATCGTTTTGAACTTCGACCCCCCTAACAATTAGGAAAGACGAAGTGTGCAGCAGGATCGAGTTCGCCCTCGAAAGTCGAAGGAGACGACAACAAAATGGCGCACTCCTCAACATCTTGAGCTGTAGTATTTTACTCCTCTGCTATACTTTTAATGGCTTCCCTCAGCCTCGCGGGCCTTCAAAATAATTCTAATTCTAATTTCAACTGTAGAATTTGAGGTCTAATAATCTTTTTACTGTCCTTCTGGTGCTCTTTTTGGGCGAGAAACTATTAAGTGGCAAAATTACAAAGTGGGGCGTCTCCATCAATGCTGGAGGACTTCCGAATGTGCAAATAATAACTCGTGTTTGCGCATTTAATCAGCCCACAGAATCGAACTCAAAAGCGAAGCTTTGAAATGGAAAATATGATTTCACTCTAGATTAAAGTGGTATCAAGCCCCAGTGAATTTCTATCAAGGGGAATCAATCTCATTTTAGGTTTAGTAAATGTATAACTTAATGTTTTTTTTTGTTGGGGGGGGGGGGACAAAATCCATAGCTGTCAAACTTCATTCTTTTATCTGTTGCAAACGCGAATTATCAGTCTCTGTAAAGTTGGACATTGCCATGGACATGTACGATCCTCATTCTCAAACTCCAGAATGTCAGCATAAACCATGACATGACTATACCTCCCAATAAAACAGGTTCAGGCTTGGGCAAAGCCTCGACAGACCATGTTGTGCATGGATTGCAACCATCCTTGGCGTTAATCTGCCAACTATTGTACCGCACTGTTTTTCTATGCATCATGGTTCAAACGTCCCATTTGAGTGCTCCTCACCTGCAACACCAGAGTTTCCATTCGCTAGCCGATTCGCACCAGAGGAACTTGAGTAAGGGGAATATGTTGGAGCTTGATTGCCTCGCGAATGCCGGCTCTGTGCTGTGCTACTTCTTGTTACTTTTGGACGAGCTTTCCTGCCCTGAGGTAAAGATGAAAAATAGAGATCAATGATGGGAGAAAAGAAACATACAAAGAACACCAAAATGCTGAAACAGATAACAAGTGTGGGAAAACAAGGCTCAATCATATACAATGAAATGCAATCCCTAGGGATTATGATACGAAACTCATAATTCAATAATGAATGAATGCCGTATACAATTGTGTGGAAGCAAGATACCTTTCCCATGCATTTCTCCAAATGAGGAGCAAACCTCCCAGCAGCGATAGACCGACCACAATTCATGCACTCAAATACTTCACTGGCAACTGAAGGATGGGTTTGTCCAAATATGTCAACCACATACTTTCCATTTATTTCGTTATTGTTACTAGAATCAGCAACCCGGGCTCTGGCTTGTGCTGACAACTTCATTTCTTCTTCCTCCTCTTCTAGATTATGATCAAGACCCAGCCTTGCTATTCTGTGATACTCAGATGCCACATCAACAATGATGGAATCTAGGATATCCCAGAAAAAATGGGATGCGAGCTGCAGGGAATTTCAACACATGCAAGTAAGTATACAAGGTACAAGCTTAAAATGAATTTGACCATCTATAAAGTTTCTATCCACGCATACAAAACTGGTTACTCCAGGTTTTTGCGTATTGGTGTTATTATGCATTACAACAACAAAGCTAGAGTATTATCCAAAGTCATTATTCATTCGTTTAAGCTGGAGGAGGGAAAAAAAGCAGGAGTAATGGGCGTGGGAGTATTATTTCTTCCGTCTAACTGCTGCCGCCTGCAAGCTCAAGGCCTAGGGCTGCAAGCATCACATAACCCCATTTCACCAGAGAAATACCAAAGATACAATACCATTATACAAGAATGTTTCGTATATAGCCATTGGATGCTCGATTTTTTCCCCCATTAATTGGATGCTCAGGTTTGAATTCCATACATATAAGAAATTTGATGTTCCACCTCATCAAGGGCTTCTACGCATGGGAAATATAGAATATCGTTGAAGACTACCACCACCACCATCAGACAAGCCCAGGATAAGCTACGAAAGTTCAAACAGTGCCAGAAATGATTTCAAGTACGATGGAACGATTATAAATATAATAAGTATGATGATCAGCATTTTATCTTCCTCATTGGAGCCTTCATTCTAGAAGGGAAATTTAACAGATATATTTCAAAATGACAGCATAATTAAGCAGATTGTGTTACAATAGCGCAACTTCACCACCTCGCAACAGCTAAAGCCATATCCCACAGTCCAAATGGAGAAACAGTCCGGTGAGTTGAGTTCCTCTATTTCTCCATTAGATCATTGCTAACCTCTGCAACCCATGGCCTGGTGTTTGAAACTATGATCTCTCTCTCCATAACAGAGCTTAAGGGAAAGGAGCCATTATTCATGTATTTTGTGTGTCACCAATTCAGCAGTTGAGTTAAAGCCAAAAAAAAAAAGTGAAAATCAATCATAAATTCATAAATGTATCACTAGTAGCGACCAATGAATCCCATTAATAATTTCAGCCAAAAGTGAATTCTCATAATCTCATTGTCATGCATCAGCAAAATCCCGAACAAGCTACTGAGAGTTTCGGTGAAATGATTTGCAACAAAATTCAGCCAGCATGTGAAATATGTTAGGAAGTAGAAGCTTGCGTTGGAATCTCATTTTCTAAACTAGTGCCCGGAACGCAGAAACATGTTGTCGATTCAAAATTGAGGTACAGACCTGTGAATGTGATGTGTTTTCTTCATTAGGAAGTGACATGAGTCTGTGACCAAAGATACTTCTTGGCCCCCAAAAGACGGCCACGACCTGTGAAAGTCAGTAAATAAACACGATAATATTATTCAATCGCAAATGACATTTTAATAAAGAAAAGAGCATAATAATGTATCGCTAACAAAATACAACACATAGAAAGTAACACAAACATCTGCATGAACTACTTCCACTGATATTGTAACATGCATCTCAAAACTGACAACAAAGAAAAGCTGGACCATAAAATAAAAATTTATGTATATCAACAAGAAAGAAAGGTATATAGTTGCACGTTTTTGTCAAGTTTGTCTCCTTTATCAGCCAACTTCTTTATCTTTTCTCTTGTCTAAACACAGAAAGTTAGGATGACCATCTAACAAATTCCAGTTTCATATGAATTTCTATTCAGTAGCTCAACGCAACTAATACCCGGTACTGATAATACCTACTTTTAACCTGCCCGACCAAACTACAATATGGGTTGCATTCGAGTTATACATGAGGCACCTTTTCGATATCCAGTTTAACATTATAAAGAACAGGAAAAAAAATATTTTGATCAGCCTGCAGCAGGTTTATTTGGGCTGAAATGCCATAATTCTTCAATGGGGCGCACGGAACTGGAAAAAGCTATTCATTTTCGTTTCAAAATAAACACGGGCCATCACCGCAGAGTTATAAATTTAAGCTGCAATAAAACATTTCCAGAATACCGATGACTCATTAACAGAGAAAATCACAACCAGTTTGCGAGCTAGAGCCGGCTAGAAGCTACAAATTTTCAAGATACGGGTATTTCAGGAGAGAGACAGGATTCAAACGAAGATTAATTGTGTAATGAAGGAGTCGAAGACTGAAGGGAGAATAAAAAATTGAAGGGGGCAAAAAAGAAGGAAAGATCGGAACAAGGAGAAAAAGAATCCGCTGTCTGTTTAGAGATCAGGCAAAATTTTACACCTTTCGGAATGGGCTTCACTACAAAAAGCCAGAGGATAGGAAGAAGAGGCAATGATCGTTCTATGATTCAAAATCCCACTTCTGCTCGAGACTGCAATACCACAAGCCGAATTCGTTTATTGATCCCGGGGAAAACAATGAAACGGATCAACGACAATGCCGATTTCATCAAACTCCGTCAAAACGACGGCGTAGTGGGAAATATCCAAGGTTATGTTTGTAGGGTAAACACTTCCATGGTTACATAAAACGATGATACGTGGGCCCCCTTTTTTTTTTTTCCACCCCTCTCATTGAAAGTTTGGTACGCCAGTATGAAAAATGGACTTAACGTAACAAATAATGATTAGCGTTTTAAGGTTGGCGAAAAAAAAAAACATATGACTAGCGTTTTAAGACACATATTGAATATGAGTACTTCTCATTAAAGTATCCAGGTTGAATATTACTTGTGATTAGCGTTTTAAGACACTATCAGGTACTAAATATGGATATTTTTTTCAATAAGAATTTGAATATTAACTTATTATGTTACAAGGAATTAATCATATTTATCAGATATAACCCTTATTGATTCATTTCGCTCTGACATTGTCATTTTATTTTTGTTTCTTGTCGGGAAGGATATTTCTTTTTTGTGTGTGCATCCAGTATTATGACCAACTCCTTGAAGAATTACAAACCATACTAATCCATGAATCAAAACTATGAATTTCAGTTGAGTTAGAACGACTCCTAATCCAACCGCTTAGGAAGCACGTTTCTTCATGTTAGGGGCTCTTAAAATCTATTTCAGTCACATCAACACATGGCTTATTATTCTAAAGGTGCAAATGCCAGCTAAGCCCACGCATATACGCATATAAAATCCGAGCAAGCCCATGCACGTTGTTGCGGTCAAGAATTTTGCAGCCCAAACTGCTAAAGATGGGCTAACTGGCTGAATCAGCTGACCCCTAATTATTTTCTTAAAGTAAATTGTAAAATGTGTATCCGTAGTCACGATTCAAAAAAATAATAAATAAATAAATCTTAAGATATTAGTTCATTGAAAAAAAAAATGTAGGGACTAATCTGTGCGTTTCATTTTGAGTTTCATGTCCATAAGTAAAAAAATTTATTAAAAAAAAATTCCCTATTACAAAATTCATTGCCTAAAAATACATAAAACTTATACATATACCCAGGTGTATTTTTATTTAGAAACGACACCATTCACGTAAATATCTTTAATATTTGCATGGGATTAGATGATCTGGGCCTTTCATGCAATATTTCGATCCACCCAAAATGCCCTTACCAAGAATCCACTCACAAAATTTTCATAACTCAGTCGCTATTTTTTAACGCAGAAAAATATTAACCTTGAACGAAGCTTGATTCATAGATCATTATATGTGATTTATAAATAATGTATCTTAATAGCACTGCATCTTTAAATCATGAAAAATTTACTTTGGTTCAGGTTAATTAACTCATTAAATCAGTGAGTTAATCAAACGAAATTAAACAATTAAATCTTTATATATATATATATATATATATATATATATATATATAAGGTAAAACCCATGGATGGAAATTCGGCGGTTGACAAGTAATTGTCAAGAGACAAGAGACGGAGCCCCCGATGTTCCACTGATGCCCTCTACATAATTGCCTAAACAACTCATTGTCCCATGGGAGAAAAATATTGACCTGCCATTTTTGTCCTTCAACCGCTTGACGTTGGCGGGATACTACATTCCTTTGTGTGATAAACATCTGGTATTAAATAATAACATCATTTAATTTCAATTGAAGCAATATTATAAGGCTGGGATATTTTTATATTATGGTTTTCTTTTTCACTCACAGAAATTAATATCCAAAATAATAAAAGTGCACCTAACATTCTATTTTTTTAATGATACATCTACTATCATGATCTTATTTTTTGTAATGTATCCAGCATCCAGATCCTATTTTTTAGTTACATCTGATACCCTAATTTTTAAGATACTAAATATACTAAAAATAAAATTCAGGTGCAGAATACAGTAAAAAAAAAAGATTAAGTGTTAAATACACTATAAAAAAGATATATGCATGTGAGGGAAAAAAAAGGAGGGGTTGTTGGATGCACCTTTATCGTATCATTTAAGAGATATTCGAGTCCCTTTCATTTAATTTTGCTGTTGTTAAGAGTTCCGATCATTGTTTATTGAATGTAAACATGTAAATCTATTTTTATTTAAGATATTATATATATACACAAAATTAATAACTTGATTCTTGGAAGATAAGCTAAGTAAATTGCATTAAATTTTTTTATGTATCTTAATTGCATTTATATCCTTTAGATAAAAGCCAAATTATAATTAAAAGTGATTTTACAGTATACGAAGTAAATATATAATAAGAGTAAAACTATTTTTATTGTAAATTAAACACCCTTTAATTGTTCAACACTTGACATGCATATAATGGAAACTACTTTTTAAATTTATTCTCCATATATGCAATGCAACACTCGTAAGAGCAATAAAAAAAAATGTTGGAAGACTGGAACACGACAAAATGAGACAAAGCAGAGAAAACAAAATAAGATGCCCCGCCTCGTCCATATTCCAATGGCGACCGCACACCGATAACAACATGTTGATATAGATCGGATATTCCCTCTCAACTTTAACAAATAATAAACATCTTTGATACAGATTTAAAAAAATAGATAAAACATAAAAACTTAAATTGGTGGAAAATACAAGATTTCAACCTGTCTTGTTATATTTCAGGTGAAAATAAAAAGCCTATCCTATTATATCAACAGTGTACGTGGGAAAGCAACACCCACAAAGTCATCATACTAGCTTCCTATAACATGTTGAGGTGATAAAAAGATATAATGCTCTTCAAATTTTATCGGATATCAAGATTTAAAAAAAATTAGTCTTTTGATCCTATTGTCTTGATTTAATCGTAACCCATTCCCGCTTGTTAAATTTTGAATCAATAGACCCAAGTTCTTATAATTTTGACTCAATTTAAATTTGATTCCTAAATTTTAATTCACTGTGACTTAGTCTTATAGTTTCAAGCATCTAAGACTTTGGCTGTTAAATTTCATGAAAAATAAAAATTTTATTTTCTAAAATATAGAAAACTCTAAATGATTAATAAATTGAGTTGTATTAAGTTAAAATTTAGTTATTAAATTACAATAAAATTAATTTTCCCTTCCTTTTTAAATGAAGCTAAGGCAAGAATGGATAAAAAGACAAATGACCTTTTACTTGCCAACTAAGCGAAAGTAAAGGGATGAAGGAAAAGAGACCGACGTTCTGGGGCATCAAGAAAAGTCAAAGTTTCAAACTTGAAGAAGTGAACATGCATATAAGGATATGAAGGCAGCCCAGAATTAATGGCGCCACCGTTTCTCGTCCAGGCTCTGCCATGTCGGCTCCCTCCCTCAGTCCTCAGCATCAAGAGGGCGAGATTCAGTTCTCTCGCGACAACCACTTCGCTCTTCACGGCTTAATCACTCTGCTCACTGTCGTCCTCGTCTTCTTTCTCTTCATTGTCTTCATCATCATCATCCCTTGCTTGAAGCGTTCTCGTTCTGCTTCTTCCTCTGCTGCTGCCACTTCTGAACCAGAAGCACACGAAGAAGATGAAGATTCCAGAACTCCTTCAACACACAGAGTTGAAGAGAATCTCACTCAGACACAAACGAGTTTCATATCTAACAGTAGTAGCGAAGTTATTAGTGTGAAGTTTCCATTGTAAGAAAGTATTCTTTCTGTGTTTCTCGGGGCAGATTGTTGGCCGAGACTTGAGATTCATGGTGGACAATTTGGCAGTTGGAGATGAGAATAGATGTGATGGGCTTTAATTTCCGCGTCCTCTGCATCTAACCCATATCGGTAATTTGTGGTTATCATTGTTGTGTCCCGCGGGTCCCTTCTCATAAAGCTCCAAAAAGCAACAAGTGCAGCTAGTTCATTAAATCGCACAAAGGATCACATCATTGTATATTTACCTCTTAGCCATTGGATTGCTAGGTACTCTTTGATAAATTTTATGTACGCTTTTGCACTTTCTTTTGTGGGATTTTATATATAAATTTCAAACCCAAATATTTATACAAAATTTACAGGCAACACTATTATGTTCATGTGCAAAGTGATGTGGCAATTCCAATTGATATCTGAGAGATTGTACAGCATTTAATTGGCCCCTCAACACCTTAATTTTAGCAGGGACCTGTCCTGTTGAACAATCACCACAGGAAAGGAGATATTGCAAAGTAGTAATCTTTAATTTAGAGAGCAAAGTTGAAAAAGCAGAAGAACTGGAAATGATGACCTCAAGAATGCATCACAGCGTCCTTAAATAATACTCGTAGAAAATCTCTCCAAAAAAAAACTCATCGTCGCGGCGGGCTGTTTTTGTCTCCGAATACTGGTGGGAAATAAGATGAGGGCATGATCCAAAGCAGCAATAGGTAGAAGTCATTCTGGAATCTGGAAAATTCATTAGCCACTCATAATTAATTAGGGCTCCATCTATCCTTTCCCTAACTTCATCAATTCCTTTGCAAGTATTAGTCCATGGGAACCACTGTCCTTCATCTGGAACTTCCATTAATCACGCTAGCATTATTCGTAATGCATTCCAATAAAACCCACCGTTGGTGAAGCTTTGGAAAACCATAAACGCAAGAAACATAACAAGAACAACCGTCAAGAGATTCAATTTACCATAGAACAGTGGACTGCAAAGGCCCTGTCGAGATGATATTATTGATGGTGAAATCACATACAAGCACCAATCTGATTTAAGTTACAACATCTAGCCAAGACAAGCTACTAAATAATGCAGAGACTGCCATATGACATCTAACTAGAGCTAGATATGGAGAGGACTAATGCCTAAGATTATCTAACTTCATCATTACAATATGCAAGAAATCAGAAGATCATACTTCCCACCAATATGGAAGTGAGAGGAACTGTGAGGTTGTCATCAATCTCTGAGCTAATAGGAAGGGACTCAACCACTGTAGTCGCGATAGACACAATCAAAAACCTAGAATCATTCTCCAGCTCTGCTCAATATATCCGAATGAGGAAAAATAGTACATATACCTGTCAAAACTTCAATTATTAATATGAAGACAGACCAAGCAGGTTTTCAGTTGAGAGGAAAGTAAAGAGAGCAACATATGTCTGCAAAAGTTACCCAATAGATGCTAAGAATCCAGAAGATGCCATTGCAATTGAACCGGCCAACGACTTGTTTCCGTTGTAGGGTATCTTCTTACTGCCAAACCGCCTCCCAACAATGTCAGCCATACCTGAACAACATGTTAAGAATTATGCCAGGCATCGCCATTTTATAGAATTGAAGGAGTCCAGAGAAAAGAAAAGAATGTCCGGTCTGCTCCACCCTTTTTCTTTTCTTTCTCTTTCCTTATTCAAGTTTCCAGCGCAACTAAAACATTGCAAGATACAATCATGAGGACAGAAAATATAATTGGCTCTAGCAAAAGTACCATCTCCTGCACACAGATTGCATATTAGAGCAACGGATAAAGGGGAAGTTCTCCAGTACATCGCACAGGCAAAAGTAATAGTTGAGACATAATACAACGGTCCCTTCAGAAGCTCCCTGGTGCAGAGGAAAAACGGAGAAATGAATAGATCAAGGCGTATCAACAAATATTATTTTCATTCTCCACAGAGACAGACTTTAAGAGAACTCACAAGCCAAAAGCGTAACGCAGCTGCTAATCAAAATCATAACCTACTAATTCTTTTTTATTTAAAGCGAGCAATAATATAAGAATCCGCCTAAAAGGTCGTCATATCCATTCCTGACAGGCCTAAATTGACCAGCTTGATCACTTGACAGCAAGAGATTCTGCTGGATTGATTTGACAGTAAAATGGCTAATTATTACAAGTTTTAAAGATTTATATATAGTCTCACTGGCATTAATGTATACAACACTGAAACCTGTAATCTCCAAATCGGCTCATTGATTTTACAGTGGCTTCATCTTTCTGTATACCAAGTCCAATAAGAAGCATCCGAATTATATTGACTCCTGGAACGAAAGCAGCAAAAAGTGGTGCCTGACTCCCCGAACTGTAACAATAGAAGCAAGGACATTTGACAAGGAAAAGTGGGGCTTTGAAATTTTAATATACTCAGTATCTATAAATTTACCTGAATAGTGGCCAGCAGAGCATGAATGCCAGTCCAATGCTTATATGTACAAGTTTCCTATTCAATTTCTGAACACAAAGGAAATAACCGATGAGAAGTCTGCAATATAGAACAAGATAGGTATTAAGAAATAGAGGAAATTAGCACTGTTTGGATAACAACCATCAAAGTCAAACATTATATGAAAAACCATGCACCTGACTTTATCCTTGATAGATAGCATTTTGCACAACGCCACAATGAAAAAGAAATGCACTAGTTATTACTTCAGAAATGGAGAATACATTACAAATGGAGTCAAAACTAAAAATTTCTCGTTACAAATTAGCGCCATCGATGCTTCTCTTCCAGTGACAAGAAAATGACAACCTAATTATGAATCAGAAAATCTCCAAGACTCCAACTAAGTATAAACTGTAATAATAAATTACTGCTTAAGTTAAAATTTGACGCTGCTAGGAACATGTTCAGTCCTGTGTCACATTATGCATCACCATGACCATGACAGAAGCCTCTCGCCATCCCTGATATCTTCTTCAAGGAATGAAATTCGCGGTAATTCAAAGGATCTCAGTCCTACACGTCACTTCGATTCTCGTTCATAGATATAACAAAATGTAAAGCAAAGACTATTAGGAGAGTGAGGAATAAGAAGACCCGAGAATATCCTTGGTCCATCTTCAACCAGAATTATAACCGTGAAACGTAGAGGTCAAAGCATTCTCAGCAAAATACCCCCCATGAAAAGTCAACTACTTAAAGGGAACATAGAGAACTATACAGTCAACTAAGTACCTAAACAGACGATTAATTGCGAATTCTAAGCTGAAAGATGAGGGTAGAAATCAGACCTGGTCGAAGATGCCACGCTTTGCGGTCTCTTGCCATAACCTAAGCAAGGAAAGAGCGACGCCGAAGGAAATAGCCGTGGCGTAGACGTCAGAGACGGCGGGATTGTCGTGAAGCATAGAGCCCGGCGACAGGGGAGTCAAAATCCGACGAGAAAGCCTGGTGGGTGCTTCGGGTAAGGGAATGCTGAAACGGAAAGAATGGGAAGAACAGTTGGGTTTGACTTTGGAGAGCAATCCAGAGAAGGTCTGAGGGGTTGAGTCGTTTGACGACTGAGGTTGGGTACCAACTATAGCTTGCAGCAGAACATGGTAGGTGCTGACGCTCTTCAATGAGCTTTCAATTTCGAAAAGCTCGTGACCCACGAGCTTAGGCTCTGGACTTCCAATGAAATTACCAGTTTTGAAACTACAGCACATGGGGCACCCGATGATTTTAGTTTTTTTTTTTTTTGCCAATAATTTTAGGGGTTTGAGTCGTTTGACGACTGGAGGTTCGGCGAGGTACCAACTATAGCGTTTGCAGCAGAACATGGTAGGTGCTGACGCTCTTCAATGAGCTTTCATTTCGAAAAGCTCGTGACCCACGAGCTTAGGCTCTGGACTTCCAATGAAATTACCAGTTTTGAAACTACAGCACATGGGGCACCCAATGATATTTTAGTTTTTTTTTTTTTTTTGCCAATAATTTTATTTGGTCTCCCTCTGACACTGGTCCAAGTTTAATCAATAAAAAATATATTCATTGACCATGTTAATCCCTAAAATTTTACTTTATAAATATTTTATTTAAATCTGGTATTTATTATCTCAAATTGAATTTTAATTTTAAGTTAATTTCATGATTCGCAGATGAATATTTTCAGTATAATGTCTCATGGATAAAATTAATAAATTATTATCAATAACATATTTAAAAAGTCGTTATAAATGAAATAAAAAAACATATTATAAACTAAGAATTATGATGACAATGTATTATGTGATATCAGTATGAGTGGCGTGAAGTTAAGCTTTGAAGTTCTTATTTTTCACTTCGTAAATGATATTAATTCTATTTGACGTTCCATGACATGTACTTTAGAAACAAGGAATAGCATTGATGATGGAGAATTCTTACACGCGTTTTTTGCACCATTTTATCTGCTCTGATCAATTGAATACAATAGGTTCACACATTTAAAAGAAATTCTTGTATGTAATTATAATTACTTTCATTCTAATTATAAAATTTTATTTGTAAATTATAAATGATGTCTTTGTATTAGGATAGAAGTGTACTCCCTCCCCCCGTTCCTTATTATAAGAGAATTTGATGCTTATGGCATTTCCTATATATAAAGAGACACTTACAAGTTTCTTTACTTTTTTTGTTGATTTACTATTTTACTCATATTTATTATCTCCAACTCACACTCTCTCTCCTTCCCACTTCTCTTTCTTTTAATAATTTAATTGTTCTCTCTCATGCTCTCTCTCCTTATTAATGAGGGCATTTTTGAAAAAAAAGGATACTTTTACACATTAATTGTTCTTAACTATTTTAACTTTTTTTTTATCAACGTACTTCGGTTATTTGTCTCTTATAATAAGGACCAGAGGTAGTATTAATTAAGAATAGCATTGATAAGGGAGAAATTTATGCATAGCACCACATCATTTCATGCCTGCATGTAAAATTTTAACAACTCAAACATTTTTGCACTATGACAGGCTTCTGTTTTTGGGCCAGAATATATAGGTCTCTTTATCCTCTCTTACTCCTTCCCTCTCCCAGTTATCTTTATTTTAATTTCCCGGACTTAAATAATTTTTATTGGGGGAAAGACACCGAGGGTAACCCCAAAATAAAAAAAAAATCTGTAGCCTCTATACCAAAAAAAAAAATCTATAACTAACGTTGGTTAGATCTAACAGAAGGGATTAATTTCCTACGATGTAGTGAACTAATATTCAAATTCATGTTGAGAGAAGTGCTCATATTTAGTACCTGACAATGTGTGACCATTATTTCATAATGATTATAATGACTTAA